ACAAGGAGCTCATCGTCCTTGACACCGGTCGTTTGCCATCTCCCTTTATGCAGGCGAAGGCTCTGGAGGCCGGGCTAAGTAGCGATGAGCGTACCTGTGACCCCATGTACCTACAGTTTAGTGGTACCCCTAATTCGTAGGTAGAGCCCACAACACTGTAGGTAGCTTCAGCTTCCTAATAGGAGTATGCAACGTGAGTAGGTGGTTTTTGAGCAGCTTTAAAACCATGTTAGGAGGAGCCGCAACCCTGTAATAGTGGTAGACAGTAACAGGAGTTTAATAGAACCGTAATATAATCCGTCGTATCCTTTTTCGTCACATCATAGCGTGGGGGGTCCACCTAAGATCTATGATTCGTTCACTCCGCACTGGCTAACTGGGGCGCTTCTTTTTAAGATAACTATAATTGCAGTAGAACAGAACTCATAATCCCCTTAGCTGAACCTATTTGGGTTATCCCACTACAAGTAGGGTTAAATTACCAGCTACAAGTCGTTACTAAGCCCCACGAACCTCCGGAAGAAGCTGCGGAAGAAGGCCTAAACCCTAAAACCCTTAAACCCTAAAGCCCTAAACCCTAAACCCTATATAACCCATTATGGTAGTTTCCATTTTCTTTTCCATTATCCCTATATAACCCCAAGGCAAAACCCTTCGACTAAGCCCTACACCCTAAACCCTAATATAGGGTCACCCTATATATCCCCCTATAACCCCTTTAAAGGGACCCCAAAAATACCCTAAACCCTAAACCCTTCGACGCCCAAGGACTTCCAAGTCATCTACCGCCACCTGCCAGACAAAGGTCAGGAGTGGCCGGTTGGCTTGAGACTTGGCTCAGGGCTTAATTCTGGTAGTCCCAGTATGGGTTTAGAGTTTTGGGGTTTTAGAGTTTAAGGTTTTGGGGGTTTTAAGGTTTTAGGGTTTAGGGTTAGCGCAAAAGCACAGTTGCTTTCGAGGGTAGGGGATACACACGTAAGAACATGCATGTGGGGGACAAGGATGAAACGGAGAAAGGGGAACATAGGGCTGCAGAGCAGGTATAAACCCATAATGACCCTTTTCCACAATCCCTATGTTACAACAGGTTGTATAATCTCGTCATGGTTCCCCACAAATGTGAGTTTCAGTCTAAACTCTTTCAGGGGGGTTTATAGGCGATTCTAGGGTTACAGGGCTTATCAAGTGCGATACTAGGAGTTAAGACAATAGCTCATACAATCTGAGGCGGCTTAATTTAGGGTTTAGCGTCTGGATTCAGGGATTAGAGTTGCGGCTTTATGGGTTTTAGGCGGTTTCTGGGCTCAGGCTTTAAGGAAAACGATGAAGGCTGTTTCTACCAACGGCAATGAAGATGCACTCAGAGGCTTGATCAAACGGGAATTTGTTTGGGGTACTGTGGCCGGGATGGAGTCAAAAAGCACAACTCGCACAGGGACAGTCGATCAGGGTTTAGGGTTTAGGGATATGAACAAGATTTTGGAAGGTGTGTTAGATGGGACTTTCTGGAATTCGGGCCCTTTTTCTGAGGCCTTCTTTTTTCGGCCATGTAGGGCTTATATCGCCCCCCCTGTTTATGCAGACCGCCGTGTCCAAGTGCTTTTGAAATCAGAACAGCATAGCATGGTCAATCACTTATTTTCCTCCAGTATGCCGACATCCTATACTACGCGATACGCTTGTAATCCGATGTTACGACGGCTTCTATAGGCCCCTAGATGCGCCTACACGTTTAGGGCCATGAGGGAGGGGTTTCGTGGGGGCCTTGCCATCTCTGTAGGTTTTGTGCCGCCATACGGCTGTCCCGAAACGTGGTACGGATAGTGCATATCATGACCTCAGGAAGAGGAATATGGCAATCGCCATCGCCTCCGGGTCGACTATTGCACATTTCGATGACGATGTTCTTCGGCGGCACTTTTACTTGACCTTCCCTGTTGCATGAACTTGCATGGAGAAGCTTCAAATATCTTTCCCAATTGCACAAGTGTCACAGGGACTTTCTTTCTACTTGTGATGCATGACCAGGATTTGTATGCGCCGACGTACTTGGAGAGAATGGTGGAGTCGATGCAGGGCATCTGGGCAGAAGGGGTTGGGACAGGAGCTAAGGGAATTGGATCACTGGTTGGGACCTAAGGCTCTCAAGTCTGGCGCACTTGTCAAATATGAGGCATATTTGCATTTCAGGTTCATGCCGGAGGCTACGGGGTTGGTGGAGCCCCGACTGAAAGTTGCAGAGGCAAAGGTCCAAACGACTCACCAGACCTGTTTGCAGCGCAACGTCAAAAGTCAACAATTTGCAAGCCGAGTCGGATTGAATTATGGCAGCTATGGGCCTATTATTAGTCTGGCGACCCAGCAAGTATTTGGAGGATGACGGAGCTTCCAAAGGGTGGCATGTTCACCTCTTGGTTCACATTGCAGGTGCAGATGCCGTGACGTTAGCGAGCTGGTATGTTGGGGACGCTTGCACTGGGCTCGTTCCTCGACGGCTTTGGATAGTTTTTTTTACCAATCCGAAGACAGTGCCCCCTGGGACTCGAAAGCGGGATTCTAGTATTCAGGGGCTGCACTTGGGGCATTGAAGCCGAAAGGCACTTTGCTCAACAAAACGATACCAAAATAGGATCCCAAGTTTGGGAACTGCCCATGTAGGGTCGCAGTGAAATCCTTGACGAGTGACTATGCACGCGGATTGCTAGTCAGCTTCGCTGCTGGCCCATACTCTCCTCAACTGGGTTGCTGTTGAAGAACTTAAATTAAGTTACTATGTCTGGGAAACCATATCAGTTGCTATATATACCCATTATGTTAACTTCATCTAAACTCCTTAACAGCAGTCCAATCAAACTACTTGGCTGTTGGCCAAGCTGCCTTCAAACGCCCCAAGCAAGCCTTGCCCACTCCATGTCTGTCAGAAACAAATTTGGCATAGGAGGACCCCATACCCTGCAATAGTGACGATCAGGGATAATGTAAGGATTACATGAGGGCCCTATTGCATTCCTACTATACCACTATTACAGGATGGGGGGGGGTCCTCCTAAATTTAAGCATAAATTGCATACTGTACTAGGCCTCAGGCCCTTAGTCGGGCTCAGCTTTGAGAGGGTTGATCTGGGCGATTCGTATTTTGTCATTCCAGGTGTTCCTGACATGGATGATTTGCTTGCAGGCCTCCTAGTGGTCTGCTAAGCGTTGTTGACACACGTTTGGTTAAGACCCCGCATAAGGATATGCTTTTGCTTGTAGAAGGCTTTAAAGAAAGCAAATCGAGGTTGCGCGGGCTGTGCCTGCAGATGACGGATCACAGGAGCCCTTTAGTTGCAAAGTGCTAAGGCCTGAACTTTGAATATCCATGGCGTCTCAGGGTGTAAGCTGTCATGCGGACTCACGCCGAAGCTTAAGCTCAAAATTGCTGAAGCCTGCACCCTGGAGGAGAGCTGGGTCTTGGGCTACGGCTTTTCCTACGTCTACCGACGACAAGCAGCCCTCCAGCACCCATTCCAGCACGAGCATTTCGGAGAGGCAGGAATCTTCAACTCTTCTCATACACTTGGCAGGAGGCCCCCGATGCAAATTTAGAAATGTGGTATAAGGCACCTTGCATGGCTCTAGACTGCAACCCGTGCGCGCCAGGCTTTGGGCACGATTTATCCTGTGGAAGCCAGGCATATCCAGCAAGAGCTGAACGCAATTCCACATGTGTGGCTTGTGCCCGGTTGGCAGGATTACCAGTTCCTGGTGGCCTTGCGTGATGCGCCTTGCAGCCGCGGCGTTCGCACAGCCATGTGGCGCAAGGGCAAGACGGGCAGAGATTTGTGATGGGAACATACATGCTTTACCGTACCGTTGCCCAGCAGCCACCAAGATATAGAAAAAAGGAACCCCCGCCGTTTCGAGATGCTTGTGTGTAAGTCTTTGGTCATGTGCCTGAAGCCTGGAATAGGGGCTTGAAACGTAGAATAAGGCTTTTAATTCCGAAGCTCTGCAGATCAACCCTTAGTCCATGTTGGCAGGATCTTGGATCCTAACTCGTGAAGCTCCTAACTCGTGAAGCCGTGCAGTAGACTCCTCGGGCCAAATGCCATTAGCTCTTGATGCTTGTGATTTTCTCCCTTGTGCTATCGCCAGCCTGGAGCCCTGAAGTTCCAGTGGGTTGTCACATCAAGACAGCTGCTTGGTCTTAGTCAGTATGCCGTATGGATTGACAGTTCATAGAGTTGAAGGCCTATTTGCACATGCAAATCCCTCCTCATGGCTCGCAAACGCTGTAGCTCTATGTATCGTTCGACGAACCATGTACCCTACATGTGGTTCTGTGGGCTGTTTGGCATGTTACCTTGCGATGCTGTATGGCCATGCAAGCGGCAAAAGCCTACAAAAACGTCTTCCACGGATCCCGAGGTTGAGTGGTCTCTTTGCGATTTTTCTCGGATGTTTCCCTGAACCATTACTACAAGAAGGAAACCCCATTATTTATGTTATTGTAACGTAGCTCAAATTCCTAGACCCTAAACCCTATGTACCCATTATGGTAACCCAATTTAAATTCCTAAGCTCATCTGTTAAGACCTTGCCATTGAGGTCCAGGATGGGGTGGGGCTGGTTCTACACCTGCAACAAGGCACCAGGAAGTGAGGAGTGCACATCCGCCTCCTAATCTGAATACGTACGTTACGTCCGATACAGCTAAACGTACAGCTAAACGTACACGTTTGCTTTTGTTGAACCCCATCTCTAGCCTGAGGAAGTATCAGCTGGCTTTTCACTACCTGCTTCCCATGCCTGCCATAGCTAGTGCGTAGTCTTGCAAGCAGCATCTAACTGCAGCGTCAGCTGAAGCCAACGTCGCACACCCCAAAATTAGCCTTAGTTTGATGACGGCCTTTTCCATGCCAAAAACTCCACCCCATCCCTGCCTGCACCAAATGAATCGCCAGTGCAAAGGCCAGATCCTGAAATCCAAAGCTACTTTTGACAGTCATGACTTGCAGGCTTGAACTTGTCAAACTCCCACGCGCACCACGAGATCGACGCTCTCATGTGTGGTTATGTTAAACGTACAGCCGCTAGGGCAGGTCTTTTGTTGTGGGACCCTTCATCTTGAGTTTGGCATACTGGCTTCTTGGAAGAAGGCTTGAAGACTAGGAGCCCATTTGGCAAGTTCATGTCATGTGGGGTGTGAGGTTTGGAAGTTATTCCAGGCCCCAATGCAGAATGTTGTGGAGGTATTAATGCGGCCGGCATCTTGGTTGCATAGCTGTGTGAACTACCCTAAGCCACCTCCAAAAGCCTTGACCTATTGCGGGTTGTGGTCAGCAGCAAATGGAAGAATGGATCCCTGTTGCAGTCCCTGATATTAGAAATAGTAGTAATGTATAATAATAAATAGTAATACAAACGGTAATAGTAATAATAACCGTAATACAAACAGTAATGCTAATGATGAAATACTCCCTTGCTAGCTGATGGTAATCCCTCATTTTAATCCTCCATACGCTGCAGGCCGCGAGGGTTGTTCGGAATATGTCAGTGCATTGCGCGTTCTCTACAAGATCCTTATCTGTAATGCCTATATATCCCTAGGGCGCCATGGGGTACTCATTGAGAAATCCGATAGGCGGATCGTGAAGGTCCGACCAAAGAACAGACATGAGCTGCAAGCACTCAGGCGGTGGATATAATAACAAGCAAGAATGTTGGAGAAAGGTGTTTGTGTTCCACACTTGGACACTTGAAACGCAAACTTTCAAAACGCTCGCGTGCGCAAGGATGCTGATGGAGTCGCAGCGCTTGCCTTCGCAAAAGTGCCAGGCGCTCCGTCATTTCAACACAAGACATGGCCAACCGAAAGTTGTCTGAGAACCTTAGTGCGACGCCATCAATCTGTTGTTCAGTGGGCCAATCTACGGAATTTGTATTAGGCATGTGCGCCAAGCTGCTTCTCAGCTGTTTTTGGCGGCCAAATCCAGAAGACCGGACAGGTTTCCGAATGCTGCCGCGAATCCCGGACTTGGAATCCCCTTTCATCAGCCGCTTGGGTGCCTTAGGGTGTGGGGGTTGGTCATACAGATCTCAAACGGGGTTACGTGGGTCATTTAGGTCTGGGAAGTTTGAGATTTAGAGCGCAGGGTTGTTTTGAGGGTCAGGTAGCTGTTTTCCATTAAGATTTTCGTGCTTTGGGTCTAGATGTTGAGATTTAGGATCTTGGATGTAGCTTAAGGTTGTTTGGGTACAGGTTGTGGGGGCTGGTTTACTTTCGCGGTGGAGCTGTCTGTGCGCATCCAAAAGTCATACTTCGGCTGGGTTGTTGTTAAGGAACTCAATTTAAGCTACTGTTTCGGGGAAACCATAGTAATATGTATAATACCCATTACGTATGTTAACCTAATCTAAGTCCCTAAACCCTAAACCCCGTACACCCATCATGGTAACTTAACTTAAGTTCCTTAACAGCAGCTCAGTGGGCTGTTGCGCTGCCATCGGGTACAGAGACCCTGCTGGAGCCGTACGAGCCGTATTGTAAACTCCTTAAAGGGGTGTTATATCGGGGACTACTATAGGGGTTATTAAGGGAGATACTAGGAGTTCAGACTGTAGCTCAGATGAGTTCCTCTGCTTTCTCGAGCCTGTACAATCTCTGCATATCTCCGCCACACTGCTTGCTTTTGGAGACCCCGCCAGTGTTGCTTCGTCAATCCGTCAGGTTTGGGCTCCGCCCATCGCATGTTCCTGCGGCCGTGCCTGGGACACGTCAGTCTTTTTTGATAGGGGACAACACGCTGGCTAAAGCTCAGACACTACTCAGAGAAGGCTTTGCAGAGACATTCCGTAGAGATTTCGATTTGGTTGGGTTTGCTTAGCGCTGATCACACTTCGTCTGATGATTTTGCTGGCAGCTCATAGCACCCAAGAGAAGGGTTGCTAAGCGAGCCGTTCTCCGCAACAAGCCAAGCCCGCGGTATCTCGAATCTGTTTTGATCTTCGAGGGAAAACGCGTTTTTGGGTGGACACAGGCCTTCACACCCCTCCGCGACAGCATTGCGCAATGCTCTCCAGAGGCAAAGTGACGAGTCTCAAAAAGAGATTGATTAACTGCTGGGGGTACAGTAGTGGGGTGACAACTGGATTCAGTGCCGTCTTCTCCGGTAACGGTATCCGGTAGTATGCTGCGTGCTAGGGCCCTAGAAAATGCAGCACTCAACTTCACACGTAATCATGCCTTTCAAGTTGTGCCCAAAGATTGGGAAGCTACTTCAGTAGGGGCGGAATGTACGTTTTGGAGATGGTCACGGGCTGTTTGGAGGCTTCAGGCCCAAACTTCCTAGTTCTTTGTAGGGAAGAAGGGAATGTAATCCCTGTATAACCCGAGTATAACATATTCCCTTCTTACCTGCTAAGCCCGCTCTAAAAAGATGTGGCTGTTGTGTGAAACAATAGATGTGGAGGTGGGAATCCACGGGGCGAACAGCTCCCAAAACACTTCTAGCAGGATACTGGGCAATTTCCCGAAATTTGGGGTACTTCTCGGGGTCCTATATTACGTCCTATATTACGGATTATACTATGTGGGGATATACATGTTGAGCCCACGCAACCTTGATGGTAAAGCTCTCTACCTCATGAAGGAACTGGCAGCCATGCGCAGGTCCTGAAGTAGAAGAGCACCTAGCATGACTTAATGATGGTTAGTAGGGAATGAGGGAATATAATCCCAACATAATATATTATTCCTTGCTTCCCTACTAACCTTCAGTAAGATAATGCCACGAAATTCTTGGAGTGAGAGTGGCTCCTCTCTAGCCGTGCAGCTCGGGATCCCCCCAAAACTGGCCCTAAGTGTTATAAACTCCCATGTGTATCCCAGCCTCATATGTCACCCGTTTGCTCGGAATTACTGCGGAGGCTGGGCGTCTCAAGGCCGCTACAAGCCCTGCGGCGCCTCTGCGGGAGCATGATAAAGCAGGATAGCATTCGGGGCTATACTACAATTACCATAGCTACAGAGGGTTATTAGGAAAGAACCTTACTACCAGTTATGCAGTTATGCAGACTTCTGCAGTAGGCGCTGGGGTGTGAGGCTCAGGATTTAGTCGGGGTTCAAATCTTCACGCCTCGTGATCTCTTCTGTTGTTACAGGATGATCATCAAACGGAGTCAGGCAGACCCGTTCTATGTGGCACCCTTGAATGCGCCAATGCTGGCTTGCGAATTCAGAGATTCGAAGTTCCGGTGGAATTCCTACCACACATTCCTAACCCTAATAATTCTAAGCAGCCTAACACTAACCCTAATGTTCCTATCAAACCGAATAACTGACAACCGTCATAACGTATGATACAAAACCCTAAGGGTCCAAGGACCCAAATAATACTAGGGTTTTAGGGCCCAACTACCATTAATATTGTAGTATTTGGGCCCGAAACCCTAATATTGGGGTCCTTGGACCCTTAGAAAAAGTCAGAGCAAGCTTTCCTAGGTGGCAGGAGGAGGACGCCTTGATTAGCTGCTGCATCCGGCGTAGGAAGGAATTCTTCATCGAGCCAGGCCGCCTTCGCACCGCCTACCTCTGCTTAAAGCCTTCAAAGGCAGACGGAAGTGGGTAGCTCCCAATATTTGCGTCCCATTTTGGTACCCCAAAGTATGAGGTGCCATAATATAATGTATAACCAAAAGGGGCCCGAACTGGTTTATAGCGGTACTCAAGGACACCATGGCAATTAAGGGACCACGTGGGTCTGAGCTTGATCTGGTGCTCAGAAAACGGCTTGGTGAACTATGAAGTGACGAGCTGGGGCCTGAGCCGGGTTGCTGTTAAGGAACTTAAATTAGGTCACTGTCATAAGCAGACCCTGTTATTTACTATATACCCATATTATGATGGCTTAATCTAAGCTCCTCAACAGCAACCCAGTCAGCCCAGCATTCATTCTCATGATAAGCGTTGTTCAATGTCTGCGCTTCCTGTTTTTAAGGCGAGCCCTGAAGAAGGATCCCAGAATTTGTCGTTCCTGTGATGTCAAAAGCATGCCTAGCTCGAATCCATGAAATCCCGGCTAAAAGTTAAAAGTCGGAATCCAAGAAGCGTCAGTTACTGCACACCTCTTAAACACTCTGCAAGTATCCCCTCGAATTAGAAAGCCGCCCCCCAACCCTAAACCCTAAACCCGGAGCCAAGAATTAAGGCTTGCATCTACGCAAGGAAGGATCTCTAACATTACCCTTGCTTTCCAGACATTTTTTGGTTTAGGGATTATTGTCACAGGGGCATATTTAGATTATATAGGGCAACATAGGGATAATGTAGGGATTGTATGGGGAGAAGGTAGAGTTGTAGTTCTGGGCCGCATGGGGTTACATGTGGGAATGGAGAAGACATGGAAGCTAAGATTCTACGGTTTATGGAAGAGCTACCAGCGCCTCCAAGTTGAGCCCTTCCACCATCCATTGTCTCGCACTTATCCAAGGTTTACATGACCCTGGGACCCTAAACTAAACTCTAAACCTAAGCGCGCCCATAGAAAGATAGCACTTGCGTTCGAATAGTTCCGCGCTGCGGAATCCTGAAGCCCAGAGGTCCTAAACCCTCAACTCGAGACCCTACACTAAACTTAAGACCTCGCAGACTGGGAGTTTCCAGAAATTAGGGGCTGCAATGTAGATGCGAAATTCTACTATCATTACCTCCCCACGCCCCGCCCCAAATGCTTTGAAACCGTAACCTCATCAACTTCTACATTACTCCATTGGTAATTAATTTTCTGTTCGACTTTCCGTTGCTGACGGGCTGGTATGAAGCTTCAACACAAAGCACTAAACACGCAGGCCGCGTTTTCACCTCGTTGCCACGTCTCGCAACTGGACTTCAACATGCGGGTGCTTGGTAGGGAATACGGGAACGTAATCCCTATATGAGCTATGGTCTAAACTCCTTTACGGGGGTGATAAAGGGGAGTAGTACAGGGATAACTAATGAGGAGACTAGGAGTTGAGACTAAAGCCCCTAAAATGACTCGTGGAAAGGCGGTATAAAGTGAAATATTCACTTCAGACACAAGTGACATGATCGCAAAAGATATGACCCACATGAATAAGGCCAGTTAAATTTAGAGTCATAGGCACATGTGCCGAAATATATATGTATATGATATAGATACAGATAAACATGCATCTGTTCATATTTCTGCCCCATTCTTGTATCAGACTCCCGCAGCCGCAGCTACTCTGTGAATCCGAGCCGCCAAAACCTGAAAGCCGAGGCGGGCGCGCGACTCCCAGGCCGGCAAGAAGTTGTGGCATCTAAGTGAATACATAGTGGCCAAACGTAGAGGGTCTCTCCGAGGGGGCTGCAAGAGCGAAAGGTTTTGGGGGGTTTAGGGCGTAGGATTCATTATTTCTATTGGTGGTTCTAGTCCCCCATACGTAGAGGTCTCTAAGGCTTAGGGTTTGAGTAGTTTTTAAGCGCTGGGGTTTTTATTGTCCCCAATATCGAGTAATATCACATCTTCCTTTTGGGCATTGCAACTACTGAGATGAACTCTTGCAGGGGATGATCTGTTGAGCTCACAAGAGGCGACCTCTGACGGACAGGATCCAATGCCGATGCTCGATAGGTGTCTTCTTATGCAGGTTTACCAAACCTCTTTTTTGGGAGCTGGGGCTGTATGAGCTGCCTGCATTGTTGCTTAACGAGCGTATAATGGCTACCATCCACCACATAGCTGACGCAGAAGTTTGGCGCTGCTTGGCCAGATTGAACATGCCACAGGGATTGCAGACATTACTACTACTTCGTGTGAGGCCTCTGTCCTTGTCAGCTGGCAAGACTGTGTGTAGTCGGAAGGTTGCCGTTGTTGCTTGAACATGGGCTACTGTATGATCTGGGGAGTTCCCGATACAAGGGTCCCATTTTGGAACTTCTAAATATTAGGTGCGAAAATATAATCCATATCCAAAAGTCGTCCATGGTTTTGAGAACAACCCAGCTGTAGTCTGAGGAATGGCTCAGCGGACTAACTAAACCAAGCAGTGTGCGTTTAGCAACGTCTACACCCGCCCCAAGTTTCCTAATTAGTGCACGTCTGTTCCGCACCTGAGGTTAGTTGACCCACATCTAGAGGAGCAACGGACCCAAACTGTTGCTTCACCTGAAGTTGCAGGGTCTGAAAAATACTGTAATGATTGAGGCTATGGAGTCAAGCATGCCCCGCCCAGGTCCTTCAAGCCCACAATTTAAAATGCGATACGGCAGACGGTTCCATGCTGCTGCTTGTGGCAGGCGATGTGCCGCGCACAGCAAACGGTGAGCTGCGAGCGCTCAGGCGAGGCAATTCCAGTACATAGGAACTATCATGACGCTTTGCTCCTTCATTTCGTTTGTGGCGCAGCCCGTGTACGCACATACACTCACGAAGACTAACTTCTGAAGGTTTACCAAAAGCGCAGGGAAACAGCGCGCATAAGCTGGTTCCTACGCTCACAAAGCAGGCCTCGAAACACCCCAGACCCCTGGGGCAACCTTTGCCTCCCAAAGCCCTTTTGAGGAAGCTCGTGCTTCAGCATGGCAGTCCTGCACAGACTGTTGATTGTCTGCCTCAATCCCATGCTGTACCCGTACCCGAAACCCTATGAAAAAAGATGGCCTTCTGAGCGCTGCTTCAGTGACACTTCTGAAGCAAACCTGGACATCGTCCCGAACTTAGACTTATCCAGCTGAAGCAGTCTTCCCGCCCCAAGGAAACTCTTATTCATCCTTCTCTCTAATCCTCAAAAAGTAGCAGAACTCAGCGACATGACAGGCACGTGGGGCGGCTGCTCCTGAGCCGCTGCCCCTCCTCTTCCCTGGCACGTGAGGAGTGCGAAGGCTGGCTGCGGCTGCAGGCCCTGCATTCCTGGGGCTTCAGAGAGATCTTCTACGTACGTATACGTGCATACATGTATAAACATACATTCACACACATGGGATTATATAATAACCCCGCGCCAGAGAATTATGTCTAGGCGCGCCGCAACTATGTAAACTGTGGGTTTTAGTTGGAAAAACGATGAGGAAAAAAAACGATAACACCCATTCTTGGACACATTGACGTGGATTCTCGTGTTTTCTGAAACTTGAAGATAGCCTTGTGGCCAGAAGGTCTTGCGTTTGCTCTCATCAGCAGCACATGTTGTTGACAGAGCTGTTTTTGTGGAGCTGCATGCGAACAA